GGCACTAGTTCGCTAACGTTGTCAGTGTCAACAGGAGTGACAGTCCGCACACACACACACACACACACACACACACACACACACACACACACACACACACACACACACACACACACACACACACACACACACACACACACACACACACACAAGACCGCAATTATGGCAGAAGCAAAACATATATAATTTTCACTCCGAGTGGGAGGATGATTATTTTTGTATCTATTCCAATTCAAAGTCCATCTGTCTCATCTGTAATGCGAGCGTGGCTTTATCGAAGAAGGGTCATTTAGGAGCGGCATTTCAAAACAGTGCACAAACCCTACGAGACGGAATTCCCTCCTAATTCTGCCCTACGCTCCCAAAAGGGGAGGGACCTGAAAGGACAGCTAAATGCACAGCAGTCCATTTTCACCAGGCCCAACAACACGAGCAAGGCTGCTACCAGAGCATCTTATCGTGTCAGTCACGTTCTTGCGAAACACATGAAGTCTTTCAAAGACGGCGAAGTGGTGAGAGAAGCATTCCTGGAGGCTGCCGACGCGCTTTTGGGGACAGTAAAAATAACAGTAGCATTTCAACAGGTTTTTTGATATAATGAAAACTCAAGTTGGATACCGTTATTAATCAGCTGTACGTTTTAGTTTGTTTGAACTTAGTCATTATAATTATTGTACAAAATGGTATAAGAATGCAAACTTAAATTGATTATAGTCTATTATCAATTCAGGTTAAGAAACTAGTGTTGCTTGCATCCTATTTTAAAGGCATTTCTTGTTATACTCTACTAAAATGCAACAAAAAAGGGTTTGATTCTATTAATTTTGTCTTTTTTATTGCACTTTGGCATCAGATTCCTGAGTAGCTTCAGATCTGAGTTGTGTTATTAGCAGTGTTGTGCTAGTTACTGAAAACCAGTAACTAGTTACCATTACTAGTTACTTCATTTCAAAAGTAACTCAGTTACTTTACTAGTTACGTGCAAAAAAAAGTAATGCGTTATTGTGGAAAGTAACGTTTTAGTTACTTATAAAAGGGTTCCCATTAATGCCCTTATAGCCTTCATTTCAGTACTGTTATTGCATTGGAGAATAATACAATCTGTTGATCAACTTGACATGCATTATATGCAATCTGGATTGCATCAATATTAGCTGGCTTTCCATTTTTGTATATTCTTTCTCCAGGTAGTTGGAAAAAGTTTTCCGTCCCATATGCCGTGTGCCGCCCGGACATGCTATCATGCTAACTAGCTCCCTGAAAGCGGGTGACTCCACTGTAGCAATAGCCTGCATGTATTCTACAACATACCGTGCAATGGCTTTATCGACTTTTCCCTGGCCAGCAGTCCCTTGGTTAAAATCCAGCCGCTGTTGCTTAGGTGGAGGTGGAGTGGCGTCGGCTGAGTCTCTGTGGTCTTAGCTACTAGCTTCGTCCCAGCATGTTGTTTATGCAGATGTTTTAAGAGATTTGAATTACTGGTTTGGGCAGTAGATAGGATCTTTGACCCGCCAAGACACAACTTACATTTAACTAAAACGTTCTTTTCTTTGTGCTCGACAAAAGTGAAATAGTGAGAATATCTCCAGGTGGAGAAACTAGACTTGAGCTCCGCCGCCGCCATGATAGTCTTGTTAGTAAACAACACAAACACGCCCACTGCCCGTCTCCGCATGTGACACAGGAAGTATTTAAGTACATTTACTCAAGTACTGTACTTAAGTACAGTTCTCATCTCTGTTCGCCTGGCTGTTGACTAGGCCTATATACAAAAAACTAACGGAGTAACGCACCATGTAGTAACGGTAACTTAGTTACTGAATTTAAAAAGTAATGCGTTAGAGTACTAGTTACTGCCAAAAATAACGGCGTTACAGTAGTCCCAACACTGCTTATTAGTAAGCCTAATTTATACTTTTGTAGCAACACTATTTTTATATAATGGCAAAGAAAGGGTTCAGAGTCTTTTCTTTTTTCCTGTGTCATATGTGGCAGCACTGTTCAATGTTTCTTGAAAACATTACCCACTGTAGTGACGTGTGAATAAACTCCAACTCTGTATCAACAACACTGTTGTGTAACTTCAGTTAAATACTTGTGTAGATTAGAAAGAGGTAAGATAAAGGATCTGCAGTATTCTATGAAGTATTAATCGTACAAAGGTCAGTTGTATACAAGTAGAAGTGTGTATTCACCTGGTAGGAGGCTGTCAGTAATGGCTCTCTATTTGGACTGGTAGATCTCGGCAGACTGGCAACTTTAAAAGTAGCTCTCGGTTAAAAAAAGGTTGGGCACCCCTGCGTATAGAGAGTTTGAGTTGCTGCCTCGGGCAGAAGGTATAGATTACCAAACTGTAAATTGAACAGGTATAAGTTTTCCTTTGTTCCGCTGTCAATCAAGCTGCTGAACAGTCAGAAACAATTGTGATTATGCTGTGTTAGGAGTTGTTGGGAGGTGCAATGTTTACAGTGTAGTTTGTGCAATCGAGAAGGTTAAATAAGGAAAGTGCATTATGTGTAAATAGGTATGGACACAATAGGGATATGTGCAATTTGACGGACACTATGCATAGGTGCAATAGGGAAAGTGCAATATTGATTTGTGTATAAATACAATAGGGGAAAGTGCAATATTTGATTTGTGTATGAATACAATAAGGGAAAGTGCAATTTGATTATGTATGTGCAATAGGGAAAGTTCTGTACCTGTATGTTTCTTGTTTGTTTCTTTGCCATTTGATATGTGATCTCTGTTCTGTATCTATGACTGATTGACCTGAATGTTTTATGTGTATTATCTCGATGCAAATTTCTCCTAAGGGAGACAATAAAGTTCTATCTTATTTTATGTATTTAGCAGACGCTTTTATCCAAGGAGACCTACAATAAATGCAATCAGCCATGAAGACAAAACTCAAAACATATTGGCCAAGGAACGGTTGAAGCAAAGTCTTCAACTAGAGGGCAGTTGAGGAATGACAGGATACAAGCAATATCGTGACATTAATGATGATAATTAAGAGTTTATATGACACCTACTACACTTTTAATTGATATGATCACAACATAGTTGAACATAGCACTGAACAGCAGGTTATGCACAATGTGAGAGAACAGGGACAAATCTGGTCTGTCTGCCTGCCTACACTGAACAGCAGGTGTGTTGTCAAATTTAGACAGGTGGGGCGAGACCGTAACACTTGATTATGCTCTTTCTCTAACACACACACACACACACACACACACACACACACACACACACACACACACATACACATACACACCATGCACATAACAAGTGTGTCGAAGCGGACTGTGCACTAACAAAGGGACTTCATGTAACACACATCCTACCTGCCCACACACACAAACACTACATGTGTTACAAATCATGCAACTTACACAACAACCCACTTGGAGTACCAACACACACTCTGTCACAACACACACACACACACACACACACACACACACACACACACACACACACACACACACACACACACACACACACACACACACACACACACACACACACACACACACACACACACGCACACAGTATCTATCTTTAGCTGTATAAATAGGCGTATAATTAAGGTTTAGATGTTGGAGTCATGAAGTGGAAACACGAACATTTAAACTGCTATTAATTTCCCATCAGACAGAGGGGGGGGGGGAGGTGGATTGATGGAAAGAAAAAGAAAGAGAGAAACCAGTGGAGCACGAGAGATGGATGATACCAGATCAGTGTTTATTATAGATACTTAACACATAAAAGCAACTGTTTATATGTATTAGTTAGCAACTGTCTTCCTCAACTACATACATTCTTAATCATTCCACAAATAATTACGCAAAGGGACAACTTTAAATATTGTAGTAACTAGAGATGTGCTCATAAGAAATTCGGAAACTCAGCATTACGCTCTTTTAACGACCCAAACACATTTAAATTACGACCATGGCAATATTGCTTTATGTCCTTGAGCAAATAGGATGTGTTTGATTGTAGAGGATGAGTGAGATAATAAACCAGCATTGTGTTCCCTCAGAGAGTTTACCTACGGGTTAAACATCCAGAACATTTCCATTGCATACATGCCATGCAGTTCAAACAGACTGGACCTACTATGGGTTGTTTTGTTTTCCAATGGGAAGCACAGTGAAAAGAACATCTCCATCCCCACCAAGCACACATGCAGATCATGATAAACATTTTATTTTTTATATAAAGGAATATTAAAATCCTCATAAACAATTAGCCTCTATCCATTTATTTAAATCAGACATCTTACAAACCTGGCGTTTTTTTTCTACAACAGCAGTTTCCAATCTTGGGGTGTGGGGTTATAAGGTCAACAGATTCATGTGTCTTTCAGACAAACTTGATTTTGTTGCAAAACGATTGATTATTAGAGAATCCAGATCCAGAAAATATTCAACAAGTTCTGAAGGTAAATAAATTTTGTGGTGGAGTTTTTCCAGCAACAACATATGCAATTTATGCCAAGGGACAAGACACTGATTCATTATAAGACTTCGGTTGGCTATATACGTGTAAGCCTGACTGAAACTACAGCAGAAGTATCTTGGCCTCTGAAAAACTGTAAAAGCTGTTTCACTGCCCTCCTTGGTAGTCCTCTGCTCTTATATTAGCAGAGCTGGGAGAAGTACTCAGATCTCGCACTTAAGTAAAAGTAGAAGTACCAGAGGAACCTATGGCAAAAATCCTCACCTAAACAGTACTTTCCTATACCTCAAGTGAATAACCATAGAACATGTGGAGGGGGGCTTTTGAAAGTCTGTGTGGCCTCCCTCTGAGTTTGGGAACCACCTCCCTGTCCTGCACCTCCACCCTCCCCTCATCTCTCCCCTCCTCTCCTCTCTCCCCTCCTCTCCTCTCTCCTCTCTCCCCTCCTCTCTCCCCCCTCTCCGTGATATCCCGCCGCTGCACCGGTGTGTTCAAAAGCCGGAGCGCAGGCGGGGGGGGAGCAGATGGTGCAACACTGAAAGAGAAACACCGGAGGAAACATCTCTGTGCAGTGACATGTGGACGCAATAAATGCACATTGGTAGTGCAGCAGCATCGGTGTCCGATCCGCGGTAAAAGTAGAGGAGAGCAGCGGAAGAAACACGGAGCGCTTGTTCGTCCCCCCGGGTCAGCACCGCAGGGAGGAGACAGGCAGGGGAGGAAAGATTCCCCTAAACACAGTGAGAGCGTCGGATGAGGAGAAGAGGAGAGCGGAGGGCATCGGATAGGCAACAAGGAGTGAGTAGAAAAAAGTTATTCTCAAACTTCAATTTACTCTAACTTCAAACAAGTGTTACAACATCTCTGCTCAATACAATTGTAGTTGTTGTTATGGTTAGTTTTATTTAATCTAAAATGTCAAATGCTTATTTTTTATTGTTATTACCCTGGTGTGAGCTTACGTTTTCTATCCTGTGTTTCACCCTTCTTTTGTGGCTGGATTTCTCTAATAAAGGTTTATCTTATCTTACACTTCAAACTGGCTGCATTGTTAAAACAACAATTTCAAGCTTTTGCAGTGATACACCATTTTAAAAAGTAATGTATCTGTCTTCAAGCTCAGGCAAGATGTTAGGTTGTTAAGTTGTTCCCCCTATCTTATTCCTGCATAGTCTGAGTGTGTGTGTGTGTGTGTGTGTGTGTGTGTGTGTGTGTGTGTGTGTGTGTGTGTGTGTGTGTGTGTGTGTGTTTGTAGCCTTTATTTAACCAGGTGAAAATCCCATTGAGATCAACGATCTATTTTTCAAGGGAGACCTGCAACACGGAGCGCTTGTTCGTCCCCCCGAGTGTGTGCGTGTGTGTGTGCGTGTGTGTGTGTGTGTGTGCGTGTGCGTGTGTGTGAGTTTTTCAGCTGCTCGGTTTTCCTTAACACAGAGAGGTTGACTATTTCAACTTGTCAGACATTCAGTTAACACGGTTCTTATAAACACCAGGAGTTTAAGATATTTTAATAAATGATAATATTATTCTGACATTGTTATATAATATAGAAATATTTATGGTGGAAGGTAAACAACCTGATTTTTTGTATTGAACAATTTTCAATCTCATTCAAATTGAATACAATGTTTTGATATGATTGCTGAATTTTAAAGAAACGGGCTCACATTCAATTCAAAATCTCCTCACGCCTTCATTATAACAACAGCCTGTACTCTCGTCTCAATTCGTACAACAATGCTTTCAACCAGAACCAAAAGTCTCATCTGTTTCACACTGTTTTAGGAATGATTTTAAGATCTTATATATTGCCTTTAAGGAACTTCTTGCCCTGGTTTTCAGACTATATTTTAAACTCTGTAATCCTGTTAAACCTAATTGTAAATCCTCAGGCATGGAAAAAAAGCCAAATAACCACAAAACTACCATAAAAATACACAAAATGACAAAAAAGTGACAGAAGAGAACGACACAGATAAACAAAACACCTCCATTTGAAACATTTCAAAAGACACACATCATCAATATTTGATTGGAGGGGGGAAAAGATGTTTGAGGACACAAATCTCAATGTCTTTTTATCTAATTTCCCCTGACAGTGGCAGCTCCAGACTTATTGGACCCTAAATCCGCCACTCACAACACCAAGCCCCGCCTCTCCTTCTCCACAAAGCCAATCACACTGACTCCCCGGGAGGAGAGTGAGGTGAGAGAAAAAACAGAGGAGTCCAGATTTTTAAAAGTAATTTCTTTATCTCTTGATTCACATGGTGCTCATGTAACAGTGGGGAAAAACACATATTTTAAAAGTTTATAAAGTATTTATGTGAGTTGATTGATCAGTTGAAGTGTTGTAGATGGTTGCCACAGTGATGAAATGGAAGACGGTGACGGCCATCTTTCTTTTGGTGGTCCTGTACCTGGTGATGGGAGCAGCAGTCTTCAGATCCCTGGAGCAGCCTCACGAGAGGTAGGCGGGAGAAATACATTTACAGCTGTCTGTCTGCGGCGCTATGAGAACAAACATCCATCTATCCCTCAATCTGTTTACCTGTCACTCCCCTGTGCACATTTGATATTTCATGATGTCTTTAGATTTCATTCATGATTTAGAGATACTAATGTCTGCAGGAAAAAACAGGCTGAGCCACCAAAGAGAGTCACAGAGGTTGAGAAGTCACAGAGGTGTGTCCTACTAAGACAGGGGTGTCAAACTCAGGGCCCGGGGGCCAAATCCGGCCGTGACTTCATTTTATGTGGGTTAACCCTAACCTAACCCCACAAGAGCTTGCAAAGAATATAATATGTTTATTATACAGTTACATGCCGATTTACAGAAGCACGTTGACCATAAACTACATGTCCCACAATGCATCTCGTTTTGTGACATGCACACTGAATAGACTTGCAGTTATTTCCCCTGGACTTCTGCTTTCAGACGTAGTTAATTATGAAGTTATTACCCTATCCGATAAAAATCCAATTCAGAGGCAATCATGTCATATAATACATTATTTTATATATACGATATATTTATAAAAGTTACAACCGGCCCTTTGAGTGCAACCATAATGCTAATGTGGCCCGTGATGAAATTGAGTTTGACACCCCTGTACTAAGAAGACCACTATTTTGACGACAAACAACCATGTATATCTAATGCCCCGGCCACACGAGGACGAAAACGGTCGTTTGCGTTACTGTTTAGTGTCATATAGACCGTTAGGCCACACGAGGACGATCGAATACGGCACTAAACGACTGCGTAAACGATAACGGGTCCCAAGGTGGATAGAACGGCATACGCAACGCTCTGGGGGGTCCAACGGCTCAGTGTGTACACCCTATACGATCATTTTCTGATAATGATGAGGCAATAGCCCCGCCTCTCCCCACCTCTGCTGCTCACCCCCGCGTCAAAGTAAACTGCACACTGAATTCAGATTATTTATCTTTCTCTCGATATGGACATAAACGCGAGTTAAAGGTGGGGTAGGTAAGTTTGAGAAACCGGCTCGAGATACACGTTTTGTTATATTCCATGGAATGCTCTTAACATCCCGATAGCAATGAATATCTGAAGTGCTTTGACAAAAAATCCATAACAAAATGTCATCTGTGGAAGCCGTAATACTGTAAAAAGTACAACCAATCCGTTTAGCCGGGCCGGCTAAACGGATTGGATTGCCGTCCTGTCTGTCAGCCTTCCATCTCGTGCACGCACATATGTATCTCGTGCCGTCAATGGGCGTGCATTGCAGCAGCAGGCGGCCACTTTCACCAGTCTGCTGACGTCATGTGCGCGTTCATGTGTGTTGGAGGAGGTGCTCTGTAAGGAAGTCTGAAGGAAGGGGCGGATTCTTTTCGGGTGTGTACTTTCAAATGTTCGTGCACTCGAGCCGGTTTCTGAAACTTACCTACCCCACCTTTAAGTCTAATCTGACAGGACGGAGACACACAGCTCTGCTTACCTGCAGCTCCTCCCGCTGTGATGCGGCGGTGAACGGAGTAAAACACACATTTCAAGTCAGATCATCACCCTTAGCTATTTTAATTACCTCTCAAACTACCTAAACTAGATATAAATATGTTTATTTTTACTGTCGGCCGGGTCACTCATTACTGGATCAGCTGCTGCATGAAACAGACACTGGCGCTGTCCGAAGAGAGGGAGGAAAAAGAGAGGCTCCGTATATTTTATTATTATATTATATAGATTCGTTATTCATTTGTTTTAAAGCTCAATAAATAACAAAGAAGACATTTGACCGGCACTTTTATAATTTTGTCGGAAGATTTAAACTTTAATACACGTTGACTGGCGAAAAACTCTTCGCTGCTTTTGTGGAGGAAGTTACAGCGCCACGTACAGGCTCCTGCATATGTACTGCAGCTTCTCCAGCGGTTGGAGCTAAACGGAGCGGTCTCGTGTGGGCAGACACTATCCGGATGACTATTGCGTGTGGACGGAAGCTTTTTTGCGATTGCGTTTGCGTTAATCCTATGCGTTTAGCCGTTTTCGTCCTCGTGTGGCCGGGGCATTAATTACTTTGTATACAGACTTGTGCATACATTATTCAGTAAGTGTGTTATTATGATTTTTAGTTATACATTTCCAAATCTAATTTTAACAACCACAAAGCACACAAAGCCTTGACCCCAGGGTGGACCCTGCTGTAGACTTAGAGCCTAAATATGATCTTTCACAAGTCAAGTCATTTTCACACAGTTTAAAAAAGATAAACACATTTCATTTTCAGAAAATGAGCCGTAAAGTCATCGTTCAGAGTTATTACTGTATTGTTTTTCGAACAAGAGTTTTGAGAAAGGTGGACTCTTATTGTGAAATATGAACTAATGATCAGAAACATTTCTCCCATACTTTCTCTTTAGTGCCCAGCGTTTGGCCATTCTCACCCAGAAGCTGGAGTTCCTGTCCACACACTCCTGTGTCAACCAGAGCCAGCTGGAGGAGCTGGTTAAGGTTAGACCTGCCTCACATTAAAAACGACATACGTTTGATTGAAATACTGTTCTGTATTTGAACAGTTATAATGCAGCACAGCTGCAGTGGATTCAGCACCATGGACAGCTCCTACAGCTTCTTAGGAGGAAAAGGAGGACATGTGTAGCCACAGATATTTTGTTTCTGTTTTGATACTCTCAACTAGTTACATTTCTGAACGATTAAAGCCTTCACAGGGACTCACACTGCATTATAGGAGACAGCTTGCCCCTCCTAGTTTGCCAAGTTACATACAGTGTATTTTCTGTCTTCTATCGGATCCTTCCTGCAGCACTACAAGAAAGACAAAGCTCAAAAGCACCAGCTAAAATGTTTCGTGATAATATTTACTGCATAACATAATATTTGGTTTCTAACCAGGATTTGATAGTTTCCAATGGTAAGTCAATACTAATTGTTGATCTGAAACACACATTTAAACTCTCTCTCTACCTCTCTCTTTCTCCTCTTCAGCAAGTAGTGTCTGCCATCCGCTCAGGAGTGAACCCTGCAGGGAGGCTGACCAATCACAGCAGCCTGTGGGACCTAAGCTCCGCCTTCTTCTTTGCTGGGACTGTCATCACAACCATCGGTAGGACACACAGTGTTGATCCCTCTCAAATTCCTCCTATCAGACAGACAGACATTCAATTACTTTAAAATGACTCACACTTACTCACAGGAGCACTGCCATGTTGCTCCAGAAGTTCAGAGGGTTCACTCTAAAAGAATAAAATAGAGATTAAGAATAATAAATTGTTTAAAAACTCCCAACACATGTAGAGTATATAACCAGATAACCACACACCCCTACTTGCATGTTTATGTGTTCAATTATTTCAATGTGCTAGTTTCAACTGCTGTGGGAAGTATGAAATGGTGCTTGATATCCTCTCTGTCCTCTGCAGGTTTCGGGAACACCTCTCCCCACACAGAAGGAGGAAGGATCTTCTGCATCATCTACGCCTTGTTGGGGATTCCTCTGTTCGGCTTCCTCCTGGCCGGCGTAGGAGATCAGCTCGGCACCATCTTCGGCAAGGGCATCGCCCGAGTGGAGAAAATGTTTGTGGTGAGTCCGGGGTAAAGTTCAATCACGTACGCTGGGCAGACACACAGATATTGTGTTACATGTTTGAATTCCATCAAATGTATTGTTTGAAGGGTGCAAGTCTTTAAGCCAGCGTTTCTCAAAGTGTGGGGCTCGCCCCACTGGTGGGGCGCAGAGATGTGATACAAAATACATTTTTTATTATTTTGTTAAAAAAAAAAAAAAAAGTATTTTGTACAAAATAATAAAAAAGAAATTCTTATTTTTTTTTTTCACACTGGTGGAATATCAAAATAACGGCTCGCCCGGGGTGCAAAACGCATCAATGAAAGCGACCCTCTACCACACAAAACAACACCTGTAAATAACCCAATTTGTGTTCTTTGAAATTGAAAAGGATAATTGCATTGTGTTTGTTACTTTCGTTGCAGTTGTATGTCTTAAGTGTAATTTGGCATGCTTTTATTTTGAAGGCGAGTTTACGCTGTTGACAGTTGTTGTTGCTATGGAAACAAGAAACGTTTCACAGCGGGCGGAACTTGTCATAAAGTCCGCGATAATAAAGCCCACCCATTTAGAGGCAAGATATGATTGGTCAATTGTACTGTCATTTGACATTACTCTCTCTTCAGTTACTATTGGCCCTCTGTGAATTCATAGCTGGACGTCCAATCAGCTCCTGTCTTCACCTCGCAGAGACGAGCTTCTTTCATTTAACCCTTCACATTCAAACAGAAACTGAATAGGCAGATTCAAAGGATTTATTTATTTGGAAATGTTATTTTAAATACAATTTAATCAAGTTATTATTTGTAAAACTAATTACTAAAAACATATTTAAAAAAGATATATAAAGAAAAATATAATTTTTTTTAATGTTTTAAAATATTATTTTGTAGAATATCTTAGGCCCTCAGAGACAGGCTCGCCACTGGTAAAAAATCTCTCATACACACATGTGAAACGCTCTCACAGACACACACAACAGCGTTGCAGTCGGGAAGAAAAGCAATGTGGAGCGAGAGAGAGAGAGAGAGAGCGAGAGAGAGAGAGAGAGCACACCTTTATCTATTTAATAAAGTTGTAAAACATAAAGTAAGAAATCATTCCAAAAAGTTTAAAAGGGGAGGGATTAGTCAAATATGCATAAATAAAAAGAAAGAATGCTAACTAGGTAACATAAGATAAGAATAAACAAGTTTAAATGATTTGTTGTGATCATATTCTAAAGATGTTTGGATTATTGAAAAGTATACAGCTCCCTTTCATCTGAGTGTTGAGAGCTGTATCCATAAATTCATGTTGGGCTCAAAGTAGGGCTGCTCGATTATGGCAAAAATCATAATCTCGATTATTTGGGTCAATAATTGATATCACGATTTAAAAAAACGATTAACCATTTACTTTGAAAACATCAATTTCTTGAAGAAAATCATTTGAAAAGTATGTTAGTTGATTACCCTGAACTTTAAGTATAATTCAACTGAAAAACCTATTTTAAAAAAATAAAATCGTTTTATTTCGATTATGTTGTTTTCATAATCGTTGCAAGCCAAAATCGTAATTGCGATCAAAATTGATTAATTGAGCAGCCCTAGCTCAAAGTGCACCAGATTGATGCATTTAACCCTGCCGAGGATGTGACGTCCACCACCAAATAAAGCAGGTTAAAATAATTAAATTGCATATATTTTATTTTAGTAAACACTGAAAACGGGTCTCACAGACCCAAACAGCACACAAAGGTTAAAGGTAGCATATAATAATGTTAAAATGTGCTAAATATATACACTGCAAAAAAAACAAAAAAGAGGAGTAAAAGTAGCTCACGACTTGTTTTAATTTTGAAAGTAGCTTTCATCCTAAAAAAGGTTGGAGACCCCTGTTATAGAACGATACATTTGACAATTTTAAGCTTGGCCTACCATTTTATTGGAACGATGAGGAACAGGTGGGGCTTGAAAAGGCCCACCTGTTCAAAGTGGGGAATGACAGAAAAAGTTTGAGAACCACTGCTTTAAGCTACCCTGAATAATGAACATCAAGAGATACATGTGAAACATATTGAGGTGATAGTTATAGGGTCAACCTATGGAATATAAACAAGAATACATTAAAAGAATGTAGTGATACGTGTGCATTTTAACAAACGTACAAAAACATTATCTTTGAAAGCTGCACTAACCAACACTGAAATGACATAATGGTTTCTCTGATTTATGAAGTTTTTACTTGACTATATTTGAGTTTCGTCCTTATAGTTTGTTATGATTTACAGTTAGAAATGAGGGGTTTTGTTTTTGTGCTTACTAAGGTTTTGATGAGGTATTAGGCAGAATAAGGGGTTACATGCAAACCCTTTTAGAATTAGAGATTAGTTTGTTTGTTTTGTGTCGTTTTTTAGATTCACCTGTAGTCTCTCTGTAAAAACAGTATTTCTAAGAGGAGATGGTTGAGTCTTTAAAGGAATGCCTCAGCATTGTTGTTTTATGTCAAGTCTTCAGCTCCCAATAAGAGAAACAAAGCTCACAAAATGTGTGTTTTTAAAGTTGAATTTGCTGCCGTTTGAAATATGCGTTCGAGCCTTGAATGAAAGGAGCTGAAGTGTGCAATGTAGAACGATTTGCTCCTTCTGCTGCTCTTAGGGCACCCGAGGGACTGAGTACTGAATATTATGATTAAGGCTGAGGACAGAGGACAAAAGTTCATTGTCTGGGTCTGTGTGGGTGTTGTCAAAGCCTTTTTGCTCTGTGCCCAGAGTGTGTGAGACTGCAGCATTATCCTCAGTGAACACTGTGAATGTCTTTTCTTTCTACTGCACCCAGGGGACCAATTTATGGAATAAGGCTATTATTACTTACAGCGTCTATCTGTTTTACCAAATCACCTCGAAAACGGTTGTCTCTCTGGTCCATACTGATATATCTCAATAACTGTTGAATGGCTGGCTAAGAAATATTGTAAAAACATTTATGCATCCCAGAAGATTAATCGTATCACTTTGTCAATCCTTTGACTTTTAATCTTTGTGACTTTTGGTTTTAAATGAAATGTCCAAAGAAATATTGAATGCATTGTTGCTCACTAAATGCTAACAATTGGATGTAAATGGTAAACGCACTGAGTTACAACGCTATCAATGAGTTAAAAAAACATATATACAGTGATGAAGCTATACTATGTTCACCCTCCAAGTTTACATTTGATGAAGCTGTAAATTATCATTGGATTACTAGTTTTTGGTCATAAACCAAAGTATTATATAATAAAGAGATTCTGAGCTGATGATGATGATGATGCTGATAACGCTTTATTAAAAAGACAAAAATGTCGCCAAATTGATTACAATTCAATTCGATTTAGTCTTTATAAATTCAAAGTCCTCCTCATGCGCCCTGCTCAGATACATTTGGTTTGAACAACAAGTGCTTCTCACGGATGGACAAGTTAAATGTACATATTTTAGCATCAACATATTGGATACATTGGATCTAGTTTGTCACGGTAGAGCGAAGGAAGCAGGACCCAAATGCAGATTAAACTGATATACCTTTATTTCAAGGATAACGAAAATAGAACTTGGACAGACAGAACACTCACCGGTGAACACAGTCAACAACGAAAGACGAACCGACAAAGACAGACAGAAAAACCAGAACTTAAATACACACAAGACTAATCACACAAACAAGACACAGGTGAGGAGGGAGGAGAAAACACAGGGGCCATAGGTGAACACAATCGGGTAATCAGACACACCAGGGAAACTAACGACAGGGAACCACAGACAGATCCAAACAAGACAAAACACAACGCAGACAGAAAACCAAAAACAGATCTAGACAAGACACCACAAAGACAGATCGTGACAAGTTAATCCATTTCAAGATGCTATTTGTTGCCACTCAAATTGAATTAAACAGACAATGACCACAAAAGCTTCATGTGTATTTACAGTGATCACAAACAGCCCATCTGTAGAGTTTGGTACCTGTTACCTCACGTGTCCCGTCTCCTCTGCCCCTCTCTCTCAGCACTGGGACATCAGTCAGACAAAGATCCGGGTCATCTCCACGCTGCTGTTCGTGCTGTTTGGCTGCCTGCTGTTTGTGGCGCTGCCAGCGGCCATCTTTAAACACATCGAGGGCTGGTCTGTGCTGGAGTCCCTTTACTTTGTGGTCATCACGCTGACCACCATAGGATTTGGAGACTTTGTGGCAGGTACAAACACAAAGCCAATGACTGAAGAGCAAAATCAGACAGCTAATTTAAACCTGTCTGTCTCTCTGCCTGTATCACCTGGTGAACTCTTCTTGATGTGTCACACTCATTGCCTCTGTCTCCATGTCTAGGTGGTTCAGAAATAGAGTACTTAGATTACTATAAACCAGTTGTTTGGTTCTGGATTCTGGTGGGACTCGCCTACTTTGCTGCCATCCTCAGCATGATAGGAGACTGGCTCCGAGTCATCTCCAAGAAGACCAAAGAAGAGGTATGAGACCGCTGGTTTGATGTTCAGTGATTTCTCCAATTTCTGCAATTTCTCCCTTTTTCCTTTTTTTGGTTTTGTTATTTCATAATGTATGTTATATTTCATTTTCAGGAAAGAAAACTGCATTGTGTGATGATGACAACTTAATAATAATAATTTGAAAATGCAGTGAAAATTATAACATTTTGCGCCCAGGCTGTTTACTAGAAAAAGCATTGATATTAAATAAAGTGAACATTTATCGCCATTTTTTATTATGTAATGCAGTGTTATTAGAAATCTGTTTATCTTTCGATGTATTTGTGTCTTTCAGTAAAGTGACACTCAGGTTCTTCACGCTACTGTTGCAGTGCCTCAACTTTTGCCCTCTGCTTAATGACATTTCAATGATTAGACTGTTTCCTAATCCAATCCACCGTCTGCCATCTAAACACATAAACGCAGTCGTATGCCATTACCGTGAGAATCTCCAGAGAAGAAAGGGGTCATTCAGACAACATGTGATGATGTCCTCATCAGAAGAAAAAAAATCTTATAGCACTACTCGTATCTTCAACAAGAACATGCTGACATGACATGGTGTAGCCCTTAGCTAAACATAATTAGTTATATTATTCAGGTCTGAAACTGTTAATTGGTGATGTGTGTGTGTGTGTGTGTGTGTGTGTGTGTGTGTGTGTGTGTGTGTGTGTGTGTGTGTGTGTGTGTGTGTGTGTGTGTGTGTGTGTGTGTGTTATTAGTGGGATATAGTCTGAAGTACAGGCATTTGAAATGTCCGTTTGAAGAACGGCTCTAGTCCTCTTTTAATGAGTTATAAAGACAAAACTGAAGCCTACTCATTAGCATAAATATCCTGGTTCAACACATTGAACACGTTTTTTTTAACCTACCCTAATTTGGATTTCGAGGGAAGAAGCGCAATTACAGAACGTAATAACTAAAGGACAATAGCATGCACTTATATGTTACAGCTATTGAGTTTATATAAAACATCTTATTCAGAGGGGAAAACGTTTACAAAAAAACAAAACATTCAAACATGGAAAAGACATAATGTGATTTGGTCATCGACTGACAGGTCATGGATAACTGATTGTCCATGGATATAGTCATTTCATTGTATTATCAAATGGTGATAATATATGGTAACTTTATTAAAAAGAAACAGGTCACTGTGGTGAGACATTTAGACAAAACGCTTTTTAAAGGTTATGTCTCTTTTTTTAAATTATTTTACATTTTGCCACTGCCATCAAAGAAGGAATAGTTTTTCCAGCAGTTCCTTAAGTGTAAGGTGGGGTAGGTAATTTTGGAGAAACCAGCTCGAGTGCGCTAGAATTTGAAAATACAAAACCGGAAAAAATCTGCCACTTCCTGCACATGACCAATGAGGGCACGAGATAAGTTTGTGCACAGATGGAAGGCTGACAGGCAGTTATCCAGTTATTTTAGCCGGGCCGGCTAAAATGATTGGTCGTGCTTTTTACAGTACTACGGCTTCCACAGATGACATTTTTGTATGGATTTTTTGTCAAAGCACTTCAGATATTCATTGCTATCGGGATGTTAAGAGCATTCCATGGAATATAACAAAAAGTGTATCTCGAGCCGGTTTCTCAAACTTACCTACCCCACCTTTAATCTTTATTTATTTCAATGTCTTTCTCTCCTTGCAGGTAGTGGAGATCCGAGCTCACGCTGCAGAGTGGACGGCTAACGTCTCCGCAGAGTTCAAAGAGACACGGCGGCGTGTTAGCGTGGACATCCACGATAAGTTCCAGCGTGCCACTTCAATTAAACGCAAACTGTCCACTGATCTGGGATTCATCCCCGGCCCTGAGCTCACCCTGCCCAGGAGGACCATGTCCGTCAACTTCAGCGACGAGAGGAGCGAGAGTCTGATCAGTCCTCTGGCCCGAAACGGAGGCTTGTTCATGAACGGTTTGGACCCCGAGCGAGGAGATATCGTGGACCACTTCAAGTAGAGAAATCGTTCCAAGGTCTTTCTGTTGGTGGCCTGATGAGAATGAAGCAGTGGTGACTCGTCTTTAGGGACCGCCCCACCTAGTGTCAGCAGAAAGTAATGAAAATAATAATTCCAAAAATATGCAAAATATATTTTACGATCATATTTAGTCGTCTGATTCGTCTGTACATTGCTGTTTTAGTCTGCGTTCTTCCAACTAGTGTCTACAGTGTGCCTATTGAGCCGTGTTGAGCGATGTGGGTCAAGCCCCTCTCTCTGCTGCCAAAATGAATGGGTGCTGTAAAAACTACACTGCGCATGCTCAGAGTCTTTTTCTATTCAATGTGTGTGGCAAAAAATCACCAGTGGGGCAAAGTGCTGGCAACCCCACCAAAACGTAATCTCATGATTCAGAGAGCTGATAGGCTGTAAATACGTGTGCCGCGAAAAGTGTAGTTGTGAAGAGGAGACGAGAGAGGTGCAACTTATAGCGATTAAAATCAGTAAAACGGAAAGAAAATGAATGAAGTTGACCATCTACTTCAGCTTTGGTAAGTTCATTTATGTCATTTTATTGAAAAAACAAGTAGAAAAATTAGAATGTGGTACTCTGTGACGACCCAGATGAGACTTGTTCACCCCGCTGCAGGAATGTAAGCCTTGCTGAAGAACATTTGTGGATACAGCGGGACACTTTTCACCGCCAGGGAAATAGAGAGCAAGATGGAGGACTTTCAAAACAGTTGATCTTGTTGGAAACGACATTAAGTGAGTGTCTGTCAACTTAAGATCTTGGAATTAAGCAGAGATGACAATTTAAAAACGAATTGATTATGATTATGATGGTTTGATATGATGATATCAGAGTTGTAAAAGGTACAGAAGATTATGAAATACAAAGATGACAGACTCTGGTGGTTAGATGCATATGTTGTGCTAAAGACTGCAGAATGTGAAGATGTTGAGAGGAGGGGATATGCTTTGGTTTGTCGCACAATCAGCCGTACTGAAGAACAACATAGATGGAAAACTGTGTTGCTGATCAAGCTACAAACTCTAGCTCCTATTTGAGCTGTATTTATCAGATCTCTTCAGCAAACATTATATTTAACAAGAATGAAAAGTCCTGACCCAAATATTCAACTGTTAAGGGCCCTATTATGGTCATTTACAGGTTCATATTTGCATGTGGTGCCTCTATTGTGACATGTTTCCATGCTTTAATGTTCACAAAGGTCTTTATTTTTACCGTCTGTCTGAAACCAGGGCCCAGTCTGCTCTGATTGGTTAGCTGGCCGGCTCTGTTGTGATTGGTCAACTGCTTATAGATGTCCCGCCCCTTAGTTTTTCACATACAATGTGTTGGAGCGCTAGCCACTAGAAGAGTGAGCGTAACGTAGTGATGTCATTAAGTAACGAAGAAAACTAAAGACTACAATGGAGAATAATTAATGGGGTTGACCACTGCAGCTTCCACATTACTTTTTGAGGTTTCGATCTCATCATAATTTTGATTTGACATTGGATTATTTCCAGTAAAAAATGTCCACCACCTCTTTTTGGTGTTGGTCAAGAGGACGAAGGTGAGCTTCAAAGTGGTCTCTCTGATTCAGTCATTTTGAAAGAAATGTAATCACTTAATGTCTGACATTTGTCAAACCGCTGCTGTGCCTTAAACTCTTCATTATGCCAAATCAAGGCTAGCACAACACATTGTAAGGGGTTGTTCTTATTATGTGTAACACTTATAAGTATTTAAACTGAAGAAATAAGGTGTTTCATAAGGCCATTGCTGATGTATTTATCTAGTCCAACAAAACCAAATCAGTTGCTGTAACTACGGCCTGGAGCCATGCGTGCCTATGTGCATCAAACCATTTGTGTTTTCTATAATAATATAATTTAAACGGCTCTTTTGACACACACACACACACACACACACACACACACACACACACACACACACACACACACAGATCATTTAACACTTAGAACATTTTCCGATTACATTAGGAGTAAAAACCATATTGTAGGTTGACTCGATTTCAAGTTAAAATGAAAATCTGTTGAATGTAATGACAAAGAAAGTCGGGGGTGCAGCTTTAGTTGTTTGGTGCAAATAATACTCAGAGAACAGCAGGTACAAATCTGTCAGTGGTTATTTTACTTCTATTGGACGCTCTAAGAGTCTTTAAAGAGCCCCCTAGATATCTAAAACGAACCTAAGAAAGGGTGAGGGGTCAGCAGGAGAGTCCCATACATGTTGTGGTTTTCTCTCCAGCAGACTATAGCAGTCTGCAGGTTCAGTACTAACACTAATGGAAACAGTAGTGACGTACGCTTTGTAGAGGCTGTTGGTCTGCGTTCTTCTCCTTAGAAAACATATGACAATGTAACACAATCATCCTTTTCAGCTGTGCTAAAAAGAAACTAACTTAAAGACATTTTATTTTCTGCTGATGTGCTAGAAATGTGAATGGTTTTTATGATGATGAGAACTGTATTTTTATAAACTGTATGTTTATACTTGTAGAGTACTTTCTTAACTGAGAACACATTGTAATAATAATGTCTGTAGAGCTGATCGAAACGCAATGTAACAGAGATTTTTGTACAATATCAAACTTGAAAATATATCAGATTTCAATAATTGTTCTGTTTGCTGTCTTTTTCAAAGTCTTTGACCTTTACTGCCTTTGGCATCACATAATTGTACAAACAACACAAACAAGATCCTACACTCTCTCCTCTCCATTGCAAAACAAAGTTTGAATTCCATTGTTGTTGACATTTTTCAAACTTCAGTAGTGATATTTGACTTGCATGTATTGTACAAGCTGATTAAAACCCTGTTGTTCACTTGCATAAATGCTGCAGATGTAATGCGTATATTTGCATTTTTACTGTCACTGTCAATCATATCTTAACAATACACACCAACACAGTCATTGATTAACAACTTTGCATGTTCATAAGGATTTCAAGTTATAAACACACAAATAACCTGTAATGTTAATCCAGTTCCTCTCAGACATGCAATGACCAACTCCTATTTTAGACCAACCCTTTATTAGATATTTGGAAGTACATGTATCTTCTCTTCTTTCACACAGTTCACAGCCAGTGAGTAATTTTTAGTGTTTAAACTTCCTGTATGAGTGACTGGCATGTGGCTGCAGATCTTATGATGCATGAGGGAAAGTTATCAAAGCAGGAAGTACAGAGCAGAATCAACAGCTCACAGTGAGATGGATACAGTACAGCGGCTCATTTCACCAGGACATTTTCTCTATTGTAAGAGCACATCGTGCGAGCCAAGGTCGGCTCACATCAAACTGTAAATCCTCAATTAAATGTTAAAACTTGTTATACTTGTTTGTTCGGAATAAACCAAGGAAATTAGCTTTAGAGGTGCTGGAAGGTTTTTTTGTTTGACTTTTTAACACAGCCATGCTATCCGTTTCCTGTTCCCGGGCTTTAGGCTAAGCTAAGCTAACCGCTAACCTGTTAATTTACCTGACATTGTCATATTCTTCACGTACCCTTTGTAACCTATAGCTTCGTTCTATCATTTATGTACAGCATAATGTATTACCTTTCCTTGTATTTATTGATAATGTTCAACAATGATGGCACATATACAGTAAAATATACGTTACATTTAGAGCATATGAAGACGATCAGCCAGAGGCTCTTACTTAACTATAGCGCTGATTTATTATTGGTGTATATTAGGACTGCAACTAACAATTATTGTCATTGTAGATTCATCTGTTGATTATTTTCTGGACTGTTTGGTCTACAAAATGCCAGGGAAACTTAAAAAATGCCCTTTCCTGTTACTTAAAGTCTGCTTTTGTCAGTACAAAACCTGTAGATGTTGAAAAAGTCTCCATTGCACACCGTTTAAAATCAGAACTGCACTGGTAATTAGGTATTTACCCAGCTTAAAGTTTTCTGCTGTTTGTAAGTCCTTGGCTATGACGAGTTATACAGTAACATCCGTTGAAAGTTCAGACGCAGCCTCATGGAACAACAAGAACTTTATCTCCCCTCGCCTTTTTGCCACAGCTCTATAACTGTAACATTAGTTTTTCATTATAATTTCCCTGAGCTTAAAGTTTGGTAACATTATAACAACGGAAATCAGATGGCCTGAAGCGACAAGAGGATTTTAGGTTGTTATATTATAATGGTTTCTATTTTTAGTTCTGCACACTTATAGGTCATTCTTTCTAGAAATGATCTGTAAAATAGCATGAAAAAGGCTTGTTCTCTGTTTGTGTAATTGACCATTATATCTCACTGCAGAGGGAAGCTGATCCTGTGTGACGTCAAGCATGCTCGGTCAGGCAGGTTCCTGCTTCATCTTTCTTTAAAAATATGCACGTTCAAGATTTATCTTTAGTCATTTATCAATTTGATCTTAATGTGGGACTCTTCCTCATCTTCTCTTCCTCTGTTGGTTTCCAGCCTTATAGTCTCTGCTCAGAGGACTCAGACATGTAGACGGATGACACAAACTGATCCCCACAGAACATATACTTAATGTAACCTGCTGCAGAAGCCACATAGCTAGCATGCAGACCTTAAACGAGACACAATCTTTGGAGGTGATGACAACAGCGGCTACGCCAAATCTGGCCAGAAGGACCTCTAAACGTCCAATGCCCTTGATTGGACAACACCAATCTACGAATGTTGTCTTCATTTTGATTTGAACACCACACCTGAAAAGTCATGTGACTTGTGTCTACACATCTGCAAAGTTCTGAGACTGCATTAGTCAGGGTTTTGACGCTATTGCGCTGACAAAATGGGTCCACACCACAGACCCACAAAGACTTACCAAAACCAAAGAGACAGAAAACAATAATTTCTAGAACTCTAGAGACTATAGTGGTGGATACCCATGATTGTTGTTGTTTGCATGTGATGAAATTGTGTTATTTATATAGGCACAACACACAGTTTCAATCTACTAGTCACAAAGAGTAATCTACTGCTTGTATAGTTGTTTTAAATTGATGTTTTTACCTAGTTTTGCCATTGTTAAATGCTATCCGCAATACCTTCAATTATACAAGACTTGTACTCACAGTTTTTGGTTTCTTTGTCCAGCATTTGAGAACAACAAAGTGTCTTCACAGATGTAATGTAACAGGTTGTTTGGGATGCAAATAGTAATTTCAGGGTTGAAGAATTTATTTGAATAATGCCTTTCCTTCTAATTGATGGAAAATAGTTCAAATGAAAAGCCCTTTTAAAAAATAAATTATTTATTCACCATTGTAAAGCCATGGTTAAAACGTACAAGTAGTTTATAAATGGTGACTTAAATGTGATGTCCATGTTGAGTATTGACCAGTCCATTTAGGCCTCTCACCCACGACAGAAAGCTGCAAGTGGGTTTCACATTGCAGATTACATAACTTAGTTTTGAAAATAACTCAAGTGTATTACCATAAATTGAACTATTTTTTTCTGCCTCTTCCCCTCTGTCCTGTTCATACAAACTTCCTGTGGGTGACTGAGAGCGGCTGCTTACACAGGGCTGACCGGGAAGAATGGGAGAAATCATGCATACAGCAGAGGGATCGACGGTCAGTCAGTCTGTCCGTTTCAAAGACAGACACACACACACACACACACACACACACACACACACACACACACACACACACACACACACGCACACACACACACACACACACACACACACACACACACACACACACACACTCACCAGTCTGAGGGCCAGTAATAACACAGCTCAGCGGACACATCTCCTCATTTCCCGTGTCCTCGTCCAGAGTTGGTTCTGGCATTGCAGCTTCCGCTAAAAAGCTCCAGCAGCCGGACATCAGAGCACCGAGACCGCGGCGAGCTGTTCCCATCACCGGCGGAGGGACTGGGTACAAGTTCTCAGTAGTATAATACCACAGAGTACACATACAAGTCCTCAAAATGTTACTCAAGTGAACATATAAAAGCATCAAAATGTAGGCCTACTCATTTTGCACATTGGCTGATTTCAGGATCATTTTCTGTTGTATTTTTAATATTGTTGCATTAATGTGTTCATCACTTGTTGTTGCAGTTGGTTAAGGAGATACTTTTATTATATTATTAGGTTGTGAATTTCACCAGGGGATCAATCAAGACGTATATTAACCTAAAATGATTGCAGTGGCGTTTTTATGTACAACAGTGATGGGGCACACAAAACGTAGATGTCTATAAGCTTCTGCAGTGAGGTTCATGGCTGGTGAGGCACTGGCACTGACTCTTCAGGTTTACACATATTATATTTTGACCTAAATCAAAATATAATATTATTTTCAAAAGCTTTTTTAGTCTGATGCTTAAACAGACAGTTCAACAAAAGGATACCCAAAACATTTTATTTGATCATTTAAATATTTAATTGTTCTCTCTTAGTAAGATCCCATTTTCAATAAAATGGTGGTCTTCCCTTGACTTGAAGATGAAGTCCATTTGCCTATCCTTCTGGAAAAAAGCTCTATTACTTTTTTGCAAAAGTCCTCCTTATCTTCTTGTAGTTTCAAAAGTCTATCATAAATCTAATCGATAGATTTATGATTAGAAAATGACAAAAGTAGGGTAGACATGTAGATATTATCCGGCTGAACAAAACGTGCCGGATAAACACGTTTCCGGTTTCCCACAGATCTTATTTGGAGCTATTTTCTAAAATCCTATGGAGAAATCTCATTGCTTTTTTGTGGAGGGAACCAAGCACCCAGGAAGTGCGCCGGACTCAGATGAAAATATTCGTGCTGGCCAAACGGCGGTACTACACTTCCGTTTGGTTGCCAGGCCCGGAAACACTTTTTCCCATTGACTTACATGGGGAAAGAGTGGTCTGTAAATCGTTGGATAATTTTTTTTAAACTAAATAAACTACCCAGTATGAACACTTGTATA